TGCAGTCTTTCGGTGACAGTTTTGAGTATCAAAACAAAAATTCAATGGATCCAATTAAGAACAACAATACATATACTCAAGGAATCAAGCTCAATGGATTCGACAATACTGCGTGGCATAAGTAGTTCACTAAAAACTATTATTTGTTACTATGTATCTCGTTTGTTTTCCTTTGGTGTTTTTTTTTTCACTTTAGATTGTATCATAATAGTGATGTAAATTTGTCATTAAGCTTAGCTACATCAATGCCTTTATTTCGAGAAAAAGTTATGAACACAGTTCACTGGTTATTCAGTAAGTGAAATGACCGTAGTAATTTGATTATAAAAAATAATCGAAATTGTCTTCTTTTCTCTGTCTATGTAGTTATTGGTACTGTTCAATTTCTGTTTTGCTCCATTGAATATTTTACTTGGAACATCAGTGCGAAACGACAGACAATTCGTATTAGCAATTCCTTTCTTCAATCACTTATTCAGCGCGTATGTCAAATACACTTCCAGTTATTAAAAAAATCTCGCCCCAAGCTACGTAGGCGAAGTTACCACCAAATTCCAGTTTTCCAGCGTGGATTTACTCAGAACCTTGCTCCAAATCTCCTGTTCTTGTTCCAAGTAGAACTCGACGAGCTCTATCCAAAGATATACTCAGGTTTTGTACAGCGACATTTACGGTCCCAAAAATCATACTTTGAGCTGTGGTAAATCTGATGTTACCAATGGATAGAGCTCGTTAAGTTATACTTGGGAAAAAAATAGGAGATTTGAAACAAATCTCTTGAGCGGATCCGGACTGGAAATACTCGAATCTGGTGATGAGTTCATCTATGTCTTGACAATTTAATCATCAGTCTTTTCTCAGTTTTACCATAAATTTATAGCATCTTATGCGATTGTTTCTAAGCCATTCTAGCTAATCCACGAAATATGCTAAATTATTTCGAGTAAAGTTATGCATGTCTAGAGATACCGAGATTTATAGAATTTCCAGATCTAAAACTAAGGATTTGAAGCAACAGTATAAATGTATTCTAAACTTCTCTTTCACCCGTACAGTACATACTTTCTTAGAAACTGATAGAAATATAATTATTTTGAAGCTCACGGGAGCAATAACGACCATTTATTGGTTTCTTGAGGATTAATTTTCAACTTCAGTATATGATGGCTTTGCAGTTATGAAGACAGTTATCTTCATTTTTGATACACTTTTACAAGTAGTAAAACTTAAGTTCAAATAGTGTAATTCTATAATGACATTAAAGAAATATTCGTAAACTTATGCAATTATTTCAATCATGTTACTTATTTCCAAGATTACAGTGTATGAAAACGAACTTACTCTGCCCAGAAATGCATGAGTTCAATTCGGAATAGGCACTTGTCTCTATAGAAGTTGCAATGAAATCGAATGTATATACTTGGAAAACTTCCCAGATTTCGCCTTCCTATGCCACTAATTTTTCCCAGTTAGATATTACATTGTATTCTAGTCAAAATCAATAATGGATTTCTGTTTCAATGAAGAATTGATGGAGCCAAGGAATTTTCAATGCGTATTTGCTAGAAACCTCTGTGAACTTCTGTTTGTCGAAAAAAAATCGTGTTTTTGAAATTTGTCTTGAAATTATTTCCATTTGAAGATCCCATATATAGTAGCTTGCATAACGAGTTTCAGAGTTCCTATATTTCGTACCTCTGAGATAGGAATTTTTCAAAATATTCTTGTATTTTGCAATACCCTTCGAAAAGCATCTATTTTTGAAAAATTCGTATTTCCGAGATACGAAATCTGCAAACTCTGAAACTCTTAATGCAAGCCGTTGAATATGAGACCATCAATTGGAGATAGTCGCAAGACAAAATTCAAAAGTATGGTGTTTCAAAAGTCTTAGGATCCAACATGAGTCTCTGACAACTAGACATATTAAGAATTCAATAGTTCCGTCAAGTTGCAATAAGAAATGAAATCGAAAAGAGCATGATGGAAGGTTTCCTCGTTAGATCATAGTTAAAGTGAAGCCTGATATTTGATGAGTATAATCGAAGTGAAGGTGCCGTCGACCTAAATCAGAGGTGGAGTGGATTTGGATGTGATAATTTTTTCTCAATAACGATTGAGTTTCAGTTGACCTGGTAACTTGTTAAGTGAAAATGAAAAAACTGAGAGTAAAAACACCGATTGCAGACGAAAATGTAAAAGAAGTCAACTATTTATAATAAAATCTAGTAAAGAATGACTTTTTACAGTCAGAGTTACAGTAGAATTTTCAAAAAACCTAAAATTATAGTTGAGTTGGAATCTAGAAAATACAGATGTATTCAAATTTGTCTAATTCTGACTGTTTCTCTCTTTCTATCTCTGTTTTTAGAGCATTCCTTATATGGATACCAAACCGACTAGTCAACTCAATGCTAAACTATCTGAGTATGCTATTATGATATTTCATATCAATTAACTCCATTTGATTCAATTCTTGTACAGTAACATTGCAAAGATTGAGAAAGGCATTGGTTGTGATTTCTTATTATCGATCTCAGCGTTATTCGCCATCATTGGTTATATCATAGCATCTTTTGTTATCAACTGGCAATTGACGTTGGTCATGCTATGCTTGTTACCTTTGCTCATTGGTAGTTCATTGGTGTTTTCTAAGGTATGAAGTGTTGTTCAATCAATTAAATCCTGATGAATTGTCATAGCTCACTGCTAACCAAGCAATAAACGAGTTAATCACATACTCGAAAGCGGGACAAATCGTTCAAGAAGTGTTTAGTTCATTGCGTACTGTTCTTTCTCTCAATGGTAGCAAATTTGAGCAAAAACGGTAAACCAATAGATTAAAATAGTTTACTTATTTGATATCATACAACATGTTGCTATTTTGATTGCATTTAGATATGAAAGAGAATTGGATTCAACTCGTCGAAGTAACATTTATCAAGGTGCAGTATATGGGGCTTTTCTTGGATGGCTATCCCTGATAACCTACCTAGTTTATGCAGTTGGTTTTATCTTTGGTTCTCTTCTTAAGTCAAGCAAAGACTATCATAGTGTGAATATTATTGATATTCTTATCGTGAGTAATTCATATCATCAGTCAATAAGTAAATGAATAGACGGCTACTATTTTCATGCAGATCGTTCCTCTCTTTGCACAATATATGGGTTACTTCAGTTTTATTATTCCTTTCTTTCAATCGTTTTCAGAAGCTCGAGGTGCAGCAGCACCGGTATTTCGACTTATTGACGAAGTAAATCCGAATAAATTAAGATCTCATATTGACAGCAATGTTCTCTATTTGTTTACATGATATAGGGAAATGACGTAAATGTCAATGAATCAGATGTATGGAAAGAGGATCAAGAATCAATTTATAATATCAATGGTGATATTGAATTTGACAATGTTAACTTTATTTATCCATCTCGAAAAGATGCACCAGTTTTGCGTAAACTCTCTCTTATCGCTCGTGCTGGTCAGACAACTGCTCTTGTAGGTTCAAGTGGCTGTGGTAAGCTTTTTCCAAAACAAAGATGCTAAAATGATCTCATTTGTGTTCATAATTTATTCATAGGAAAAAGTACATGTATATCACTTTTTCTTCGTTTTTATGAACCTTCATCAGGTCGAATAACAGTTGATGGTCGATCGATAACAGACTATAATGTCAAACAACTTCGACAAAACATTGGAGTGGTTAGTCAAGAACCTGTATGCTTTTTTTGCGTTTTTTTGTGTGTCCCTTTCTATGTCATTCACTATTGTGATAGATTCTGTTTGGCATAAGTATTTATGAAAATATTCGTTTTGGTAAAGTGGATGCAACACGAGAAGAAATTGAAAAAGCAGCACAAGAAGCAAATGCACATCATTTCATCATGAAATTACCAAATGTTGGTGCCTAATATACATGTTTATTTATGTATAGATATCATTATTTCTTGTTTAGAAATATGAAACACTTGTTGGCGAACGTGGTATACAGTTGAGTGGTGGAGAAAAACAACGTATTGCTTTAGCTCGTGCTCTTGTTAAGCAGCCTACATTTCTTTTATTGGATGAAGCAACAAGTGCACTTGATAATATTAGCGAAAAAATGGTTCAAGAAGCGCTTGATCGAGCATGCAAAGGTGGCAAGTGTTTTATCTACTTATCGTATTAATATATGATTTTGTATAGGCCGTACTACTATTGTAATTGCTCATCGTTTGACTACAATTCAAAATGCTCATCAAATATATGTACTAGATAATGGAAGTGTGATTGAGCAAGGTACACATGAAACATTGATAGCAAAAGAAGGTGGTATGTATCAATCAATGGTCAAACGTCAACAAATGGAAAGAATCGATGATGATAAAGATGATATGGCGAGCACGCAAAAAGCGACAGAAGAAGATGAAAAGTTGACAAGTTTGTTGATAGTCTCATTGTGATGGTCGTCACTGTTCTTCGTTTTCTTTATTGAATAGTTGAACACATTCGTTTGCTTAGCGATAGTCATACTGCTGATGTGAACAAAGTACAAAAAATGTTGCAATTATTTATAAAAACCATTATGGATAATCTCTATTTTAGCAAAGATCAAAGCCATTGAGAGAAAGATTCGTCTTTTTAAGACTATTGTCAATGAATAGTCCTGAATGGATCACCATCTTGATTGGTTGTGTAGCATGTGTACTTAATGGAGTAGCTCAACCATTGCTTACAGTTTTTCTTGCCAAAATAGTCGATGTGAGTGAGCAACCCATATAATTATCGTGCAAATAGGTTGACAATATGCATTCTTTTTTGTCGATTTATTTATTGTGTAGGCATTCAAATATTGTTCAAACTCTGAAAGAAATCATCAGGTGTTGATTACCAGTCTTCTTTTCTTACTTTTGGGTGTTGTTGTATTGTTTTTCCGTTTCTTTCAGGTGAAAATGCTGCTTTTGAATCTCATCAATGATTTATTCATTCTTTTTCAATAGTACACAGCTTTCGCCATAGCAGGATCGAAATTGACGCAGCGTATTCGTTCGAAAGCTTTTGCATGCCTATTTCGTCAAGAAATTGCTTATTTCGATCGACCTGAAAACAGTTCTGGTGCGATTTGTACTCGTCTTTCTTCTGGTGCATTAGCCGTTCAAGAGATGGCTGGTACGCGATTAGGAGCCATCTGTGAAGCTCTCTCGCTCTCATTTTTTGGAATTCTACTTGGATGTTTCATAAGTTGGCAATTAACATTGATCGTTTTTGCTCCTCTTTTTATCCTAGTCATACTCACTTCTGTGGATGTACAGATACGTCTATCGACGAATCAACAATCCAATCAAATTCTTGAACGAGCAGGCACGGTAAAGTTAGTTTTTAGCTAAAAGTCTCTGTTCATGTAGAGAAAATTAAAATTTCATTTATTGCTTGATAAATCGAATATACTACATTTATTGTCTCTTATTTCTGCAGTTTGCTGTTGAAGTTATTCACAATATGCGTACAGTAAAACAGTTGTCGATAGAAAAGGAAGTTTTACGACAATATTCTGAACTTCTGCATCAAGTATTTATGTTGGTCAATCGAATATTATACATGTATAAATTTTTAATCACTCTTATTTTCTCATAGATTGTCTTGGAAACCTTCAATACTAAATGCCATAGCACATGGCATATACTGGACATTAGATGTATACACCATGGCATTTTTGTATTGGCGTGCACTCGTCCTTATTGAAAAGAACGAACTCAGCTCCGATCGTATTATAATGTAATTGAAATTACTGCTTGATAATCTAGAGACAATGTTTCATTAACTTTTCAATTTATTAGGGTCTTTAGTTTTGCTGTTTTTTCGCTCGAAGTACTAAGAATCATGGGGACGATGTAACACTCTCAATTTCTACTTTGTTTGTTTTTCTTCTATTGTCTCCATCCTAGATCTAGTCGTATTGCTTCATCAATCTCGGGTATTGAAACGTTTTTTGATTTATTTGATCGAATACCAACTATCGACAACGCATCTACTGAAGGACAAGAATTGGTAAGAAAAAATAGAAGATAACTATTTTTTTTTCAATCATGCATATGCTATGGATACATGATGATTCATGTAGGTTGATTTTCGTGGAGAGATAACATTTGATCAAGTCAAATTTATTTATCCAACTCGGCCAACATCTATTATTCTTAACAAATTTCATTTGAATATCAAACCAAGTAAGTGAGAGAAATTGCGGTTTTGATTTTTTCATTAGAAATTTTTATTCACTGATAAGATCAACATGTAGCTCTTGTTGGTATGTTTGAGTTAAATGTTTCTTTTAAATGTTAATTATGTGATATGATCTGTATAGGTACAACCGGATGCGGAAAATCAACAATAGTTCAACTGTTGGAACGATTCTATGATGTTACTAGTGGTCAACTAGTTAGTATTTCTTTAACGTATAGTTTTAGTAATCATATAAAATTTGTCCATTCGATGTAGTATCTTGATGGCGTTGATATTCGAAAACTAAACCTGCAATGGGTTCGTTCTCATTTCGGTCTTATTAGTCAAGAACCAATTTTGTTTGATTTAACAATTGCTGAAAATATAGCATATGGCTTAGAAAATGTTCCAATGGAAGACATTATCAATGCAGCAAGTAGAACTAATATTCATCAATTTATTGAAAAATTGCCTCAGGTTCAATAATACAAAATTGTGATCTCTCTATTGAGAACAATTCAGAAGTAGTGACGGCGATATTGTAGTTCCTTATAAAAAGTTGTAAGAAACTTTCTCTCTATATAATCTGATAGAGAAATGAATGCTCTATTTCTCTACGCTATTTGATCATAGTTCAACTAATATCATAATAATATAATTTCGATGAGATTTGTTTCGCTATGAAATGTGGTAATAGTACTAATGGCTATTTAGTAAATATTTTTTGAATAACTTTGCCAGAAATAAGACAGAGAACTTCAGTTTTCATTGTTCGAAAGAGGAGATAAAGATGCATCAAATCATATATTATATCTTCTCCTAATATATGGTCTGACGTTTGTTTAATCAGTTTTCTAAGTGTGGAAAAATGGTTTCTTGTCAAAAAAGAAACAGCAAAATAGTTTTTTATAGAAATTGCCAGAAAAATCACTTAAAGTCTCAACTCGAATACCTATAACTTCTGAATGATTAATTCTAAACTTGTAAACCTTATGCATCTCTGTAGATATTCCATCGCCGGTTTCAATACACAGCTGACATTTGAGAATTCACTCTAAACATTTCACGAGTAGATTTGTTTTTAAAAAGGTTAATTAAAAAGCTTTAACAAAGTCATGTCAAAAAAAAACCTATAATATATGACTCGATGCATCTTCATCTCTTCTTTCGAACGATGAAAATTGCAGTTCTCTATCTTGTTTCTATCAAAAGCCTTTTCAAAAAATATCTACTAAATAGGCACCAGTACTATCAGCACATATGATAGCGAAACAAATCTTATCGAAAGTTTATTATTATGATATTAGTTGAAGTATGATCAAATAGCATAGAAAAATAGAGCATTCGTTTCTCTATCAGATAGAGAGAAAGTTTTTAACGCTTTTTATAAGGAATTACAGTACCGCCGCGACTACTTTTGCATTGCCCAATGTATTACTATTGTATGATATTTATTTTAGGGTTATGAAACAAGAGTAGGATTGAAAGGTAGCTTTCTGTCAGGTGGTGAGAAACAACGCATTGCTATTGCTCGAGTTCTTCTTCGTCGACCTAAAATATTGCTCTTAGATGAAGCTACAAGTGCCATGGATTCACATAATCAACAAGTAAGCTTGTTTGTTTGTTTCTATTTATCAATAAAAGATTCATCTTCATTTTTCAATTATAGATTATACAAGAAGCTCTTGAACAGGCTCAAAGAGAAGATTCTAGCCGAACATCACTCACTATTGCTCATCGTCTTTCAACTATTCGTTCATGTGATTTGATTTGTGTACTTGATGGAGGACATATAGTGGAAAGTGGTACTCATACAGAACTGATACAACGACGTGGAGCTTATTATAAAATGCTCGCTGAAAACAATTTATAATGATTATCAGTGAACTATTTTGAAAATGAAAATACACTTTATTAAACAGTACAAGAAACTCTGCCTAAATCTAACACATGATGTAGTTACATTGCTCAGTTTACTATTGAGTTTTTATTATTAATAAACATGGGTAAAGTTATCGAGTGATTCGAGTATATCCTTCTGGAATTCGTTCATAGACTTGTTTCAACACCTCTATTTCTTTCCAAGCACAGCTCGATGAGCTTTGTCGATCGGTAAAATCAGATTTCCTATGTCGCAAATCTGCTTCCTGAAAATCCGCCTTTACTGACTTTTCATCATGGGAAACCAGGAACCTATGGAGTTTTTCTTTCTAGGATTCATCCAGTGATCTATTCCAATATATGGATAATTGTGACTTCTTTTGAACACAAAGAAGAAAGAGAGAAAGTATTTTAATTGATTTTCCAGCTATTGTCATACTGAATCGTTTCAATTATTATATGACTGATTTTGACCAATGTTATCCGCGCACTGATTGATATTTTGATGAAAGCAATATAGTAAATAGACGGTTTGTCTGAAACTCAATAACAGATGTTTATCAATACAAAGAAGTTTACGATAGATCAAGGAGGAAAGTGCAGGTTTGGAACTCTCAGCATCTTTGGGTACTGCAGGTGCTCGGGTGCTAATACATATTTGCAATTAGACTAGATTTTAACCCTTTGGTACCAGGGTTTTTTTTGAAAAAATACAGTTTTTTATGTAAGCGACAGTAGATGTTTATTCAATCAAAAATCATTATCAAATGTGTTTTAGGGTACGATAAGCTTTGAAACAGTTAATTATGCATAATTGATTATGCAGACTAGTTGCACATACTTTGGATTGATTTGGTATATATACCATCCCTGAACTTTGAGAAATACTAGAAGTGGTATATATACCACGCCCGGCACCAAAGGGTTAAGGTAATAGCCATGAATGAGAGTCATATTATTTAAATTCGAGTTTGTCAACCAAGACAAGGCTATTTTTCGAAAATAACGATTTTTTATAAAACTTAACTAAAGATCTTCCGAGTCGAGGAACTGAAATTTGCAATAGGTTTTTCGAAATCTTGAGTTTGACTTTTTTCAAAAAAAAGTTTACTACTATAAGAATAACTCGCAATGCGACAGAAAATATTATAACCAGTATTGTTGTTGCATTCGTATTCCCTTTATTAGATAAATTAGTCCTTGCTTTTTCTGTGTGCTTTATATTCTTCTTTTGTATTTTCATTTGTTCTTCTGAGATTAGTATCGAAATTTCATCAAATGTAAAGGAATATATTTTTGGCAAACTGAAATTCAGCGGATGAACTAATTCGATTACTGGAATGACGTCTACATTGATGGCTATCAAAATGTGTGGTTTTACCATCGAACATCTTTTATCGTCAATAAAATCAATGCTTTCTTCACGATAAAAGCTATCATTACAGCCTAAATGAAGAATAGGACGCAGGGATATGAGCGTGGATGTATCGGTGTACTTGTATATGGGTGAAAAGTGTGGGTACCAGTGAAGAGAAGATTTACACCAACATTCGCACCGCACCAACCACACTAACACTCTAATAATAATCGTTATATTTGTCCAAAATAAAGAAACTATTGTCAGCGGCAGAATTAAATGCGAGTTGGTGTAAGATGAATATGTCGAGAACAACAAGATCTAGCGATCTATGGTTTTCACCAATCGAAAGAGGCTGAGTTAGGATATGTTTTGATATAATATTATGCAAGATGAAATCATTATCTAACCAGTCTGTTTTGCGAATCTTTCCGAAAAATGCATAATAATGCAATGTAATTTCAATGAAATTTTTATTCTGACACATATCAGATAGAGGAACTTCAATTCTATAGTTCAAGATACAATGTAAATGGTTATCTTCTCAGTATCATTTCTACATAATTTCGTCCAGCGACAGCATGCATGTCACTGGAATTAGATAAGACAACAGCATCATAGTAAGCAAAATCTGCGAGATAGATAAAACGATACAGATTTCGCCGACTTTTCACATATAACTGTTGTACATGAGGGTAGGGTCTTCAAGATTACACGAAACTGATGTGTAGGGGTTGATATGGGTGTTCAGGTGGGTATGTGAGAAGGAAAAGAAAAAACCCACACCCTATTCACTCTCTTCCGCCAGCCCGAGAAACACATTTTCAACTTAACTCATATGACTTGTTTTGATCATTGAACGGAACCAGATGCAAATATTCATGTATAACTTGTGTTCCAACATATGAGGAGAGCATTTTTTACAGTTTGCGAGAAGAAAAGACAAAAATTAAAACACACAAGTTGTGTGAATTCTCCTCTCACCCATATGCACACTCTTCTGTCACTACGCCTCTGATTGGTTTTATATTTAGGCTGCTGCTGTAATTATCCGCCATTTGCATGAATCAACAGAACGAAAGAGCTTTTTTTGTGAAAATTGAGTAAATTATGTCATTAAAGAACGTTTCTTTATATTTCACCATTCATAGATGCCATAAAAACGTTAAGACGATGGTAGACTTCCTCTTCAGCTAGACGGCGCCTTTCTGCGACAACAGCACAAATTGGAATTTTTCCGAACTCATCTTCGAAAAACTCGAATTGTTCATGTCCATTGGCCTACATGTTGGCTAACATTCTCAATGATGTTTCATGATGTTGTTTGGCTACTGTCTGGTAGCAGATGGAGATTTTCTTCTATCCATGCTGGATAAAGAGACTTTTAAGGTGTGTGATTGTTGGGCGTCCAGCAAGATTTAAAATAACAGAAGCATGTGGAGCGCGTTTAGCCGCCTGTTGCAGCAATGCTGCATTCAAGCCAAGACCGAATTCATCCCAAAATATTCCTCTTCGTTTATAGTAATACGCGAATTCATCACCGTCCTTCAGATCCATTTCCGATGGGGAAGGCACTTGTAGAAGACAGCCGATAATATAGTCAACCTTAGACAAAACATCGTCCGACACATCACTTAACAGATCTGACTTTATATGGATTGCATTCCATCATTCTTTGAGAGCTAAAAATGATGATGCGGTAATAGCGTGTTCACTAATATCCGTAGCAATAAAACCAGGTGGCTGACAACACATGCACATAATACCGGCCATGTTGATGCCTACACCGACACCCACTTCAAGAATCATGCTTTTGCCAGAAAAAGATGCACGCTCCACCACATTTTTGAAGCCTTGGGCAAATGCCTTGGTCCAAGCATCAGGAAAGAATAAATTGGAATAGCAAGCAATTTTGATATCACGCGTCGCACTATCATAAAAATCTCGCAGATTTATATATTCCAAAACGTCATTGAGTTCAGTGTGTATTGTATTCTGCAACATGTGAGTAATCCGTTTCTAGATTCGTATCTCAATGCATTTTCTGAAACACGATATACAAGAAGCGTCGAAACATACAGGGGTAAGAAATTGGGCACCGCCGCCCCCAATTTCACAGACCGCTAGAGATTGGATCCAAGCCTATCATAGACCGTAACGCACGGCTTCCAGAGACTATCAGAGGATGCAACCGAGAAAGCTCAGGCGCATCATAGGTCCTTGCAGACGAGGGCTAGATCCATCACAAAGTGTTACAGAAGGGCTCGGAAGGAAAGAATTTCGACACGGGCCGAAACTTCTCTAAGACTCCCGGATCGATGTTAAACTGGCCTCATTCATTTCCCATCCCCCTTCCTCAAAAAGTCTATTTTTACACTAGCTGCTAGATATTGTAGTACTGAGCAGAATGCATAGCGCTCAGCGAAGTGGGTGTTTGTCGGAGTGGACCATTTACATTAATTTAAAATTAAGTTTAATGTCATTAATTAATCATTAATATTAAAATTAATGTTTTCTATTTTACTATTAGTTCATTAATATGAAGTGATTAAGTGATTGACATTTATCAAAGAAAAGCTAATTTAAGAAATACTAAGGGTAATCCGTATGGTTTCTCAAGAGTTCTCTGGAGATGGTCATTGGGAGTGCATCAGTGACAATCATTCACCCGGTATACGGTAGTGGTGTAACCATAAAATGACGGGTGGTTGAGAGTCGCCCCAACAATTTTTCAAAGATTTTTTAAGAGGATTCTTCCTCTTTCAGGACTCCAAATTTTCATTTTTTTTAGTTTTTGGCTTTTTTCTGCTCTGTATATACTTCTAAGTGTTCTCTATGTATTAAAAATATTTTGATAATCCAAATTTAGCTTTAAATTTAAAAAAGTCGAAAAGATTGAACGTTTTTCATGTGAGAACATCTAAATCTTTTTCGTTCTGTCGAGCTTTCACAGAACCTAGTTTTGACACAAAAACTTGCCGAATAGTCCTTGTTTCTCAGACATAGTATATCTAGTCAAGCTGAAGCATTTTTTACAGATACTAGAAATACTTTGAGGTGGCTAAATTTTTATTTTAAAAAATATTGCATCACCGATTTTTAGCAGATCTTATAAAATAATGTCTATTAAAAAACCATGTATTTTTTAGTGGGCTCTTCGTCTTTCGACTTTTTCATTCGAATACAATGAGATTAAGATAAACCAAAAAAACATAGGCACTCGAAAATATTTGTAGTCTCTGTAAAAAAGGTTTCAGCTCAATCGGACATATTATGGCTGAGAAAGCGAGTCGATTAGCAGAACCATTTTTAGCCATTGCGACCTTAGTATGTCATAGAAGAAAGAAACCAAGAATATTGGCGCTACGATAACTTTTGCCATACTTATTGAGTTCTATCTGTCCTGAAAATTTCAACATTTTCTGATACACCGGTCTTCAGAAGTGCCGGAAATGTTAGGAGTGTCTACTCAAGGTGAGAGTAGTGATTCTTTGGAGGAACAGCTGATGTCTGAAGGAATGAAAGAAGTTTTGGTAACTACTGTTGTTCTTGATGATGAAAATGGCGACAGAGATTCAGTAATTTTGTCTATTGAACAACAGACTGTTTCATCTGATTCTGTTATTTGCGAGAATTCATCAATGGTCGAAGTAGAAGTATCAACTTTGTTTTTCTGGAAGAATATGAGCCAGAAAACGACTCGAGAGTATCATGTTTGGATTCTTTATCATCGGGTTGCATTTAACAAGAACTCTGTCTTTTTCCTACGAGCTTCACGAAGGCGTTGCTGTATGTCACTTGTAAAATCCACATGTAAGGAAACAAACCATATGTGAAATGATAATCTATCAATCATTGCTGTCACTGCAGACGACTCTCTATTTCGAGAGCCAAGTTACGCTTGGCAATGTGCCCAATCGGCTTAGTCTAAACTGAAGAAAAAAAGTAGGGGGGGGGGGGGAAGAGAAGATGCAAATATCTCGTGGTTTATTACTTTTATCGTGCTAAACAAAAATGCTTTGCTTAAATGATCGATGGTTGAGCGCCGCGCAATCATGTCCTACCCTGGTTACGCCACTAGGTATTAGAAATATTTGATGCATAAGAAAAAGTTCTAAACAATATATAACGAGTTATACTTCCATACAAGTTATGTTTTGATGTCACATTGACTCGATTGACCAAAAAACATTTGTTATAACATATTTTTCTTTTTAACTCATTAGTTTCAACAGTTGTAAATATATCAGTAATAGTGTTTTTCTTAATAGATTTGTTGTATTAGTTTATGGCTTTGTTTTCGAAGTCTTTTTGATCAGTGAAATCGTCCTTTACTAGCTAAACAGAACATTCTATGACAGAGATGAGCGAGTCATTTAAAGAGTTTTAAAGAACTTTGTTCAGCTAAAATCTTTCAAACTACGCTTAGTAGCGTTTAGTGCAAGTTAGTATGGATTACAATATAATATATAGCAACAAATGACTAGTTTTATATGGTTGACTATACCATTATAAAAATTTCTGACTCGTAAGAATGACTCGAGTCAATTTTTTTGAATCATATAGTCGAGCCTATGAAGCTAGTATAATTTATTCCTATATATCGCTTTGGAGCCCGGGCTAGCCTACATTAAGTGCCACTAAAAGTAGGTTGAAATATTTTATCTAAAAGACGTTTCATAAAATTTTGTAAATAACTCGATCAAATGACTGGCCATATCCGCTCCATTATCTAGTATGGTTTACACATATTTGCCAATGACTTTTAATATTGTATAAAATTATCTAACTAGTTTTCTAAGGTATTTTCCAATTCGATCAGTCAAAATAACTCTTTTCTACGATCATTATTGATTGGATAATCAGAAAGACCTTTCATTTCATTTCATTCAATCAAATACATTTAAATTCAGTGCTTCGATTATGAGAATCGTGATTATGATCGCATTTGTGTTGCAGATGTGATCACCATCTTAACACATATTTTAATACGATTTTCAAATTTGAAATCATCAGATATTATTTCACAGTAACACTGCATACAAATGTCTATAATTCCTATGTAGTATCCTTTTCAAATGGGAAAATGTGTTGATCCATAATCAATCTATCGTCAATATTAATGATAGAAACGTTATTTCAGATTGACAACATATAAAAAAAACAACAGGAGTTAATCAAGTTAGAGATAATTGAGATATATACTACAAAATTTAACAGACGAAAAGTATCTTTCCTACAGAAAAAAGGTTGCTGAAATACCGATGAATATTACAGTGATATGATGCTGCTTGTTTCTTAAACCACTGAAAATATCGTTGAGCAAAGGCTGGAGAAGTCTTTACAAGATTTTAATATGTCTTAGCATGATTACAGAAGCGTTGTGTATTATCAAAAGAGTAAATCTAACAAAAAAATGACCTTTCTAATCATACAATGTTACTTTTAAAATTCACCCAAATCTAATTAATCAAACCCAGACTTGGACTATGCATTTGATTAATATGGATGTCTTCCTAACGTATTCACTCATCACAAATTTATAGATTTTAAAATTTTCTTTTTTATTTCTTCGAAACGAAAACGGAAAGTTTTGTGAGAGAATTTCTATAACTCAATACCATCCATTTGAGCTAATAGGTTTCTGATAGGTTCGATTCATAATAAAGATCAACATTATACAACGACTTAACAAATTGTTATTTACTTCTAGAAAAACAAACAGAATTATTTTCTGTATTTCACTTTATTTTGTTTGCTTCATGTGTTAATCATAAAAATTGAACATATCTTTTTCTTTTGTATTAACCTACATCTATTTTCTGTTTTTGTTCTGGTAGGCTCACGGGTAATTTCCTTTTTTTTTCAATGACATTTCTCAGATTATAAGTTTCTAACTATATAAGATAGTGAGCTTAATCAAAAGTCATTCTGTAGAGCTTATTTTACTACATCTTTTCATGCTGCAGACACATTTATAAAATACTATTTTGCTATAGAAAAATTTTATATTCATATCAAGTTAGGACATCTCGGTCACTCTTTACTAGGAGATATTCAATATATATTAGAGATGCTGAATGTGTTAGACATGTAAGAACAGTAAGATCTCTAATTAATTTTCCAGGATGTATGCGACAAATCAAATGAATGAAAATTCGTGCATCTGTTTATATATTTTCTACCTTGTGTACACTTGAAATTATGTACCGTAACTATTTTTCTTTTATGGAAACGTTAAGTTTCAGGTACTCAATATTTTCCTGTGTTCTTGTGTGAGAACACTTTCGATTCAATACAACTTCACTAATGACTTCTAATACAGTCTTTATCTCGTCCTACAAACTGCATGACTGAACATATAGGAAATCTTGACACAATTTTATATTTACCACTAATTATATGTTATAGCTGCCAGGTGCGAAGTTGAAGACGATCTGATAATCCACAGAGAACTGAACTAAGGTTTAGAGTAGACAATTGCTACACCATGTGAGGCGACTATCGCGGTGAGAAAAACAAGGAGCTAGATGAATATGCTACGGAAACACGAACATAACGTCTCACACTAGGCGAGAATGAATGCCACAGAATCGTAACTGGCCTATGTCAGACTTGTTTTGTACGATTATGAATGTTGAATGAAAACTTCGCTTGCTCAATTTCATTCGAGAGTTGATTTTAGTTTTTCGAATTCTATGAATGCAATAGTACAAAGCTGAAAAGCTGAATTCAATTATTGAACTATAGCACAAGCATTCAAATATTCAATTTCTTAGCTTAACGAGAGAGATATCCTATCTACATTTCCGTGGAAATGCGAGACAAGTTTCAAGTATACAATACATAAATTCAACGTTCGAGTTTGGCATGTATGCATTCCTGAAGCCTTGCGGTATCTATGTTTCAATGCACTCACATGACGTCGATTTTTCATCAGAATCGACAGTTCGAACCGTTTTCTAATGTATTATCAATTTTTTTACAATTTCATTCCTAAATTAATATTTTCAATTTTTGCAAAAATCGCTTGAAAGTAAAAAAAAGTTCATGATAATGGACCACAATAAGTTATGTTAGATAGATTGCACCACTAATTTTTCCACTGACTAAGTCATCTAACGAATGGCTATTTTTGTGGCATCATCTTTAATAAAAAAATCAAACTTGAAAAATAAGCTAATATAGCTGATGTGGCTGGTACCGGTGGCTTCAGCGCGTTCACATATACGAGAAAATACAATTTTGAGTAAAATATAACAATTTTGTAGGAGTGAAAAAAAAATTCATGCGCTGGGATACAAAAAAAATTAAACAGTAGCACCGCGGTTGACCGAACGGTTAACCGCCGGTTTTCGAGTAGTTTGAACGACATCGATTGAAACAGTGAATTGCAAAAACTTTTTTGCAGTTTAAAATGCTTCTTCTGCATATCTATTCACTTTCTTGAGTATCCACCTTCTCACGACAGTTGACTTTTCTTGTGCTGACCTGAGTCGAGAGAAGGCAAGAGCTTTTCATTTTCGATTTAACCTATAAAGAGAGAGCCGGATAGATACAAAAGACAGGAATTTGTGTGAAACCACACTTCTCAATTTACCAATATGAATATAGAAATCAGGAACACACATAATCGCAGGCCGATAGACAAATACATAGGATATAAAAGATAATGCTGAAGAAATAAAGCGTTAATGTAAGAAATTGCACGTAGATATCAACTATTAATC